ATATAATGTTTTTATAAAATTCCTTTATAAAATATTAATAATAATTATATAAATTAAATAAATTAGAATTAATTTTTTATTTATTAATAATATTTTAGATTTTAATATTATTCATAAATATTTTATTTTATCAATATAGAATAAAATATATTTTAATAAATTATTTTATAAGAAATTATGTAGTATTAAGTATTTAATTATATTGATATAAATTAATAAATTATTGATATACAAATATATTTTAATAAATTTAAAAATATAAAATATATATATATATATATACATTATTTTTTACTACAATTTTGCATATTTTCTTTATGCGAATTTTTATTAAATTCCTTTTTTCCTTTTTTTTACATTATTTTAAATAATTTAATTTTATGTCTTATTATTTTTTTTAATTTTAATATTTTTTTTATTCATAACTTTATATATTTTTTTTTATTTTAACGTATTTATTATCTAAATAAATTATATTTTTTTCAAAATAATAAGCAATTCATTATATTAATTAGACTTCTATTTGTTTTTATAATAATAATATTATTTTTTGTTAATTTTAACTCATTTTAATGATTTTTATATTATATATAATTATTATTTTTTATATTCTATATTTTTATTTGAATATCTGTAACTTTTTATTTTTTAAATATTAAAGCCAAAATTATTATTTAACCTCTTTTTTTATACCGCAATGAGGTTTTAATTTGACATTAAGTTTTGTGTCAAATTTCTTTATGAAAAAGTTTACATAAATTATATTTTTTAAAACTAATTATTTGACATTAATATTTTTTGTTTAAGTAAAATTAATTTTATTTTATATATTTTATTTTATATGTTTTGAATATAATTAATTTAATTTTTTTTATATATTTATAGATTTATAAATAATATTTATTAATTTTTTTATTTTTTAATAAGAAAATTTTATAACAAAAAATAATAAAGTTACGAATTAAATAAAAATATAATTATATAAAAACAAAAACACAATGTATATAAATAATTGCTTTTATTTAATAATATTTTGAATTATGTTAAGCTTTTTTTCTAAAGAAATAATAATATCAAAATAAACAAGACATAATCCAAAAAAAATCTATACAATAAAATAATAAATATTAAAAGTTATTATAAAAATTTTTAAACATAAATACATAAAAATTTAAACTTAATTACCGTTTTGTATTTAAATAAGTAATTAAAAGGTAATTTATCAGAATTTTCAAATTAATTTATTGATAATAATTTTTCAGAAGTTAAATATAATTATATATAAATAACATAGTGTTATAAACTAAATAAATTATCTAATTTTTTTAATTTGAAAGTAAAATTTATTAAAATATAAGATTTATTTTATTCATAATAATATTAAATAAAATTTTAGAATGGAATTATATATTAATTGTTATTAGAATAATAATAAAATCATTTTATTAATTTAAACATAATTTAATTTCACCTTAGGAATATTTTTAAAATAGTATAAGATATGATTTGTAGGATTATTTTAGATGGAATTTAAAGTAAAGAATATATTGATTTTGTTTATAAAAATATTATATATTTTATTTTAGATGAATAATATTCTTTTAACCTATTAAATTTTTTGTTTTTTAATTAAAAAATAAGACAATTTGTGATTAGATTTACTGACAAAACTAAGTCTAATAACATAATAAGGTTAGACTAGAAATTCTGTTTAATTTTAATTATTAATATGAGAACAGTAAATTAAATTTAAATAAATAAATAATATTAAGAAAGTAATACTATCAAAAATTAAATTATAAAGATGTTAAATTTACATTGGTCAAATCATTCTAATAAAAAAGATTTTTTATTTAAATTATTTTATTAATTTTTTTATATTATATATATATAGTTTTTATTTATTAATTATTTATTTTTTTTATAGAAAAAAATAAAATACAATATATAAAATAAATTTAATAAAAAAAAAATGAATGAAAATCAAATAAAAATATATATTCGAGAATATTAATATTTAATTTAAAAAATGATTAATTACATTAAATTTTATAATTTTTAAACGATGAAAAATGTTAAATACACGATGAATAAATATAAGAACTAGATCAAAACTATTATTAAGTAAAAAGAAAAAGAAAAAATTATAAATATAATAATATAAATATTAACATATTAGAAATATCCAATAAAAATATTTAGTTAATAAACCTTCAAAAACAAATATTAAATTAATCTGAAGAAAATAATTAAAAACTCCTTGATAAAATACAAATGAAAGAAGTAGAATATTAATTATTCAAAAAAGAAAATTATTAATAAAGTGAATAGTTAATGGAATTTAAAAAATTATAATAAAAAGAGGAATTTTAAATATAAAGACAAAAGGAAATTCTCAATAAAATAATTTTGGAATTTAAATAAAAAATTTATTCAAAGGAAACTTTTTAGGAAGAAATTTTTAAATTAAAATCGAATTATGAAGCTCTTTTAGAAAATGATGTTTTATAAAAAAATAGTTTAGTTTAAAAAATAAAAGAGTTTTAATAAAATTTGGATAATATAATAGATTAAAAAGATGAAAATTAAGAAAATATTTAAAGATTGAAAATAAAAGTTAATAATTTATAATTAGAAAATGAATAAAAAATGTAATAATTAGTGCATTTATAAGATAAAACGAAAAACTAAAACTTATTTTAGAATAAATTAGAATAAATTAATTAATAAAGAGAACATTTATATTTATAAATTCTTGAAAAGAAGCATTTTTTTGAATTAAAACAATTAGAAATGAAAGAAAAAGAAACCGAAAATCAAGTTTTTTCAACAATAATTTTATAAAATAATGAATTTACTCCAAATTCAGAGAAATAAAAAGTTTTTTTAAAGAAAAAAATATAATAAATTTATTAAAATAGTATATAATAATTAGAAGAAAAAGAAAAAGAAATAGAAGAAGAAAATAAAAAATAAAAAAACATTAGAATAAAATTAAATAAAATAAAAAAATTAACAATAATTAGAAGAAGATTAAATTTTAAATAATAATTAAGAAGAGTTTTAAAAATAATAATAATAATAAGATTTTTAAAAAAATAAATAGATTTATATTGATTAACAAGAAAATATATAACAAAACGAAGAATCGTAAAAATTAGAATTAATAAATTTATAATATGAAGAAATTTAAATAAAGAAAGAAGATGAAATATAAAAAGGCTTAAAAGAAGAATTATAAAAAAAAAATTATATAATAAACAAATTACATGAAAAAATTTCAATATTAAAAACTTAACTAAATTCTAAAATAAAAGAATAAGAAATCGAAAAAAATCTACTAAAAGAAACGTACGAAAATAAACTTTAATAATTAAAACTTTAAAATAATTTTCATGAAGAAAAAAATTCGAATAGCTTTTCTTAAATTTCTTTCAACTCAAAAAATTGTTTAGATTTAATTAATAATTTCTTCCCTGAATAGACTAAAATTATTTAAAAAAATACTATAGAGAATTAAAGTATTACTAATAATAATCAAAACTTTTCAGTTAGAAGTAAATATGAAACTAAATCTATGTATAATAAAGTCTCTTAAATTTCACTTTAAACAGCTGCTTTAATGAGTGCTTAATATAAATATTTTTAGCCTTTTTAAAATTTGTTTAAATAATGATTATTTTTTTATAATATTAAATAAATAATAGAAAAATATTTTTTATTATATTTTTATTAATATTAATTAAATTTATACTAGTTGTTTATGTGTAAAAACTATTAATATACAATATTATAAATTAATATATAGTTTTTAATAAATAAAGGAAAAAAAAATATTTATAATTAAAAAATATTAATAATATAATAAGATAAATAATAATAATTAAAAATTATAGAAAATTATATTCATATTAATAAAATTATAAATATAATTATTGTATTTATTAAATATAAATATTTTTAAAAATAGTATAATTATAATATAAAAATAAATATGAAAATATAACAAATTATTAAAAATTAATTATAATATATATTTATTATATATTATATAATTTTTTAAAAAAGAATATAAATATAAAATATAAATAAATTTTTATATATATGGAGTTATTTTATATAAGAATTAATAAGTAAGTATAATGTAAATAAATTACAGCTAATTAAGATTTAAAATTTGGGAGTTTTTCTTTGACTTTTAAAATTAAAATTAATTTGAATTAAAATTTTCAGTTAGAAATCGAAATTATATAATACCAACATTAATTTCTTATTTTTTATATGCAAACATCCCTCCCAAAGATTGTATTTTTGACTAATCTGTAAATTTTGAAGTTAGAAACTTGTAAGACAAATTAACTCTTTCAATAAATGAATGTATTGATAATGATTTACCTTTAACTTATTCTTTCTATTTTTATAAAAATTAAGAAGATTATAATAATGAATTACTAAATGCATAAATAATTAATAGGCATTTATTAGCTGATTTCTCACCAAATAATAATATTGAAACTGTTTTACCTTTTGGTGTATCCTTAATTATGGGAGTAATATAAGATTCAAAAGGAGGAATAAGAAATATAACTTAATAAATTACAGTAAGTCAATATAGTTAAGATAGTTCTTCATATTACATGTTTATAAATAATTGGCTTACTTAAACTTAAAATAATAATTTAAATGAAAATAAAATTATTTATTTTAATATGATTACTAATGATCTTATTAATCATGTGAGTGTCCTATCATTATAACTAATTCTTAGTTTTATCATTATATATTGACATTT